GTCTGCATGTAGATTATCTAAGATGGAAGTGGATTTGTGAAGTCCAATTTTAAAAGACATTTTTGTCTGTTTTCCAATTATACAGTCCTCACAAGAATCTAACTTTTCAATATTATCATTTCCAAATCATCCAAGTTTATTTAGAGAAATTAGATCCTTTTTAGAAACATGGTCAAGCCTTTTATGCCAGATTAATGATTTGTTTGAAGTGAAATTTAGAACTGTAGCACTGTGACCTATTAAAGGTTCAGCAGATATGGTGTAGATGCCATTTATCTTAGGAGAGGAGATAATATTTTTGTTATCAGGTTTAGTCTTAGAAGACCTTTATGAATCATTATGTTTTACTAGTTATCTAATTCTTCCAAGGAGATTAGAGTCCTTTTAAGTTCAGGAACACATCTTATATCCTTCAATTCAAGAATACAATTATTGCTCAACCTCAGTTTCAATTTTCCAACCCTTTATCTAATAACTCATGTCATTGCCCATTTGGATCTTCCCCCTATCAAGTTTAACAAATTCAGAGAACCAATCTTTAATAGGGCACATGTGGAAGATACCACCAGAATCAAGAACTCATTCTTTTGGATCCCTTCTAATTGTAGTGACAAGGACAACCCCCTATATATCAGGGTCATGGTTGCAAGCCATAGCTACAGAGCCATCACCATTGTTCTTTGCTTTCAAGTCAGAGATTTTCTTAAAGCAATCTTTTATTATATGTACTGTCTTACCACAGTAATAACATTTTCTAATTTGGTTCTTGTTCTTCACTTGATTTTTATTCTTGTCTCTAAATTTCTGGTTCACAAATTTTCCTTTCTTAGAGAAGCTGAAATTACACTGATTGTTCCTTTTACACCATAATGGTTTTTCTCTAATGTGTAGGCCCTCACTTTCTTTAGAATGATTGGATTCAGATTGTAATTCAAGCTCTTTATTTCTTAATGCTGATGTTATAATGTCAAAAGTAAAGCCATCTTTTCCATATTCTAAGGCATTTTTAATGTCCCTATATTTCTCACTTAGAGAGTTCAACAAACCAACAACCTGTTGTTGATCAGATAGCTTTTCATCACAGTTCACAAATCTTGAATTAGTTTTGTGTATTTGTCAATATTATGTTGTAGGCTGCTAGAAGATCAAACCTATAGTTATAAAACTATCTCAAGAGATAGCACCTATTAAGCATAGTCTTGGTTAGATATAGAGTTTCTAATTTTGTCCACAATGCCTCAGCAGTAATATTATCACCTACTTTTCTAATCACATTATCTGATAAGTGCAGAAAAATGGTACTCTTGGCAATCTCATTTAGTTCTTGTCTCATATAAGCACTAATCTCAGTAGCCCAAGTGCCATCAAGGGCACCTACACACCTTGTTGTAACAATAGGGCTCTCATTTTCTGGCGCCAGAGACTAAAGTCTCCAGTACCATTCCAGGTTTGAACTTCAAATTTGTGTGCGTTATCATATTGACAAATTATTCACAAAGTTGCAACAATATAGCACACAGAGTATTGCAATCTCAGATAGCAGAACTTTAACGACAAGAATATGATTATAAAAAAAGCTAGCAATTATATATGTATGGAAATTTATCATACAGTATTACACATGGACCAATTACTGATGACAAAAATAATGTGCAGTATTTAACAGCCTAAGGAGTGGTAATCCTTGATTCCACTACTCCCTCAGATTTCAAGATCCTCGCAGGAGATCTTGGACAAAGGAAAGTAATTGTAGATTACTTATCTTAATGACTGGATCCAAGAAATTATTCAAAGAAATGGCTCATAGAAAAAATTAGGGGTTTAGAGACTACCAAAATCTGAAATGTTAATTTCAGAATAAAAGAATCCATTAGAAGGTACCAAGAATTGAACCAAAAAACCAAATCAAGCACAAGAACCCTTCGAGTTGCAATAACTCGATATGAACTCAGCAATATGTCAGAAACTCGGTGTGAACTCAGGATAAGTCAATCAACTCATAAGACTTAGTACGAGTTGAACTGTTTTACCAGAACTCAGTTCAAAAACAATAGATCAAAATGAGTCAGTATAGAGTTAAGTAGTTTTGTAACAAAATTTTCCAAAAATCGATAGATCAGAAACAGGATCTTGCAAGATCTTCAAAAATCTTTCAAAGTTTGACCAGTCAAAAATAGATCGAAGGTAAATCGAAAAACACAAAGAGTTTTCAGAGAACTTTCTTCACAAAAATATACACACACGTTCCAGATCTTGCAAGTTCAACAAATAGAAAACGATTTTATATGACACAGTCAAGAAATCTTGAAAAAAAAAGCTCTGATACCACTTGTTAGTCCTCGAGTTATATTCTTTCGTATTTTGAAAAACTTGTTACAAAATAAAATTGCATAATCATGAAGATCGAAACACTAGATATGTTTTTGCTCCAAAGGAGCTCGAATTTTGAGTCAAGAGACCTAGTCACCCGTTGAGCCTCTATCAAGAGTTGTGCTCTAGATTCCACTAATTTCACAAAGAAAATAGCACAAAATGTGTGAGAAAATCAGTAATTTCCTCAAGTTTGTTCTAGCCTCTTTCTCATAAAGAATTTCTCTCAAAGATCTCACACAGATCACTCACACCCATTACCAAAAAGAAGACATTATATCACAAAGATTCAAATTTTCAACTTCAGAGAGAAAGAACACGAAGAAACCCTTACATAGAGAGAGAAAGAAAATTCTAGAGACTGAGTAGTTTCATCCGTTGAAGAATGCCAAGTGCTAAGTAAAATATCTGACCATATGAAGCGATTTTCAAACAAGGGTTGAGGTTGTGCCACGTGTGTGGCACATACTCAACCTCAAAAGGCACAAAGTTGCATTTCTTTAAGACACGATTAATGTTAAATCTTGGACCTTAATAAAATTTCAAACAACAAAGCCCAATAAGGAATAGTGAGGCAGCCCAATATTCAATAGTTGTAGTTTATTGGCTAGAGATGTTCATGTAATTCAATTAGTAAGAAGCTACAAAATCAATTACTTCTCAAGTCTACGAATCTATTTTAGATCTGGTTAAAAAATAATATGGATATTACATGTAAAATTATTATTCAAGTTTAATAGCATTGCAAGTGTTGTTAATAGATGATGTTGTTG